CTCAGATCCAGAGATGAGATGCATATTGGACAGATTATCCCACAAGAGCCAATATCTTTTGCAACAATCTTTAATGTCCCTGCAAGGGATCTGCCAATGTTACTACACTCAGGGAATCCCAAAGATATGGCTTACCAAGCATGTATAGTTCTTCCTGGTCCAAATGCTGTTTACTAACCAAGAATCACTTTTACCATAAGCATGTTGCCTTATAACATAGTTGACACTACCTTTATCTAGTTTCCAGGGAAACAAAGCTAGAAGGTCAATTAAGGTGAAATTGTCAGGCAAAAATGGAAATAGGTTTTGATAACTCTTTACCCACAAATGTATATCTTAAAAATGAGCAATTACAGTAGTGCCTCTAAAACAGAGCAGAAAAGCAAAGAAGAGAACAAAAAAACTTGAAAAGACAGCTTTTATCAATATATAGTACTTACCATCATCAGCTGCACCATCTGCTAGAAATATGTAGTAGCTTGTGTTTAGATCAAATCTATTCTTATCTCCAGGAAGGGTAATGTTTCTTCTGAAAGAACACTGCATAACACCATCCTCCAACCTCCAAGCCATATCCTCAAGAGTATCCTACAAACACACACAATGGGTCTTTGCAGCATTATCCAAAGATTTGCTAAAAATAAGAAATGATCAAAATCCTGACCTGTTCAATTTCCTCTCTCTAAGGTCCTCTGTGCATGTTTTGCCTGCAGTGTCATTGTTTTTCCACTTCCTCTTTGAAGAGTACAAGAAATATTTTCTCTCAGTTTGTCCTTTACCCACTTGGCAAAAATATTATTTTTACTTTGAGTCAAAACCCCACAATTCCTCTAACCAGTTTAGAAACGTTGGCAGATGTACTAACTTCATCTAGCTACTAACACACAATCGATCAAAACCACTGAAGAAACAATTAGCAAGTAAGATCCTAGTGGTCAAAATGCAACAAGCAACTTGGGAAAAGTCCCAACCTGTGAGAGTCAACCCCATAGGAGAGCTATGCAGAGAACATAACATGTCAGTAGGCCTCACTCAGAGCTCATTTGCTTATCAATTGCTCTGTGAGAAAGATACTTCTCTACCAGAAATAGGCCACCTTTGGCACAGATGCCAACAAGGGGCATTTAAGACAGCTGCCCAAGGCACTGACAGTTTCTATCACATGTGCTACTCTTTCTCATTAGTCCAGAAATTCTTTGCGTCACTAACATAAGCCTCTTCTTAAATTCTGTCTATAAGCTTCTGAAAGGGGGTTGATGCTTTGACCATCTTAACAAACCATAAAACATTTATTTATTTATTTATTTGTTCCTTTGTTTGTTTTTCAGTTAGTGTTGATGTACAATATTATTATATATTAGTTTCAGGTTTACGGCATAGTGGTTAGACATTTATATAATACACAAAGTGATCCTCCCGATTACTCTAGCATAAAATACTTTTTGTAAGATGCAACAAAAAGAATTTAAATGATGCAAACGGGAATTCATCTTTTCCTACAAGAGAAACTTATCTTGTGCTTTCTAAAACACAGAAAAGGGGAATTGTTAGTCAAAGGGCACAGAGCTACAGTTATGCAGGACGAATAAGTCTAGAGGTCTAATGCACAGCGTGATGACTATGGCTAATAATTTGGTATTGAATACTGGAAATTTGCTGAAAGTATATTTCTCATGTGCTCTCACCACACACAAAAAAATAATAACTATGTAAGGAGATAGATACATTAATTAGCTTGACAGTAGCAATCATTTCACCACATATATATATCTATATATATATATCAAAACATCATATTACACACTTTAAATCTATATAATTTAATTAAGTGTATATCTATGTTATGGCAGCCCAGCCTTGCCACTGTCGACCACATAAACAGAAGTGGACGGGCCACGGAGAGGTGCCCAAGCTTTTCACACCTACCTTAGAGTTCATCACGGGGTGACTTCGCCCCGTCAAGTAAGAAGGTTGTATGTGCACAGTCTGATCTTCGTGAATACACACGTAAGCATCATCATCACCCTGAAAAACAATTGCAAGTGAGAAAAGTTCAGAGGAATTTCAACATTTTATTTTTTTTTAATCCCTAATAAAATCAAATAGCATCTGAGGCTTTTAAAACATAATGTACTGACAATCTTAAATGATCCTAAAAATTCTAGAGAATAGCCAATTTATTAATAAACTTGATAGTCATCCAGTTTATTAATAAAAATAATCGTTATAATATGAAATATAATTGCAAGGTGGAAAAAAACAGATTAAAATGAAAATATAAGATGCGTAAATGCCCATAAATCCATCGCCAATAGAATACCATTTTAATGCTTTCATATGTATTCATCCAAATCTATTTTTATTTCTACCTATTTTTTTCTCCTCAAATGAGAAAATATATAGTTTCGTTACCTTTTTCACTTAACATGAACATCGTTCTGGATATTTATTTGTAAATAAATATCTATGTCTTATAAATTTTCATGACTGTAATGCACTGCATTACAACGGGGTTTAAGGGAGTAACTTTTGAGATGGAAGACATTATAATCAGATATTGCTAATATCGTACACATTCCATAAATTTACTATTATATATTGAGACCAAAATGTCTAAGCTCAAAAAGGCATTCTTTGTCAGTCTAATTCTTATCGATCCCTCGGTCTCTAATATTCCTTAGCTCTAAAAGTTAGATCTAATAAAAATGACTATCATTAGGGACCTATTGCACAGCATGGTGACTATAGGTAACAATAGCGTATTATATACTCGAAAGGTGCTAAAAGAGAAAATCTCAAATGTTCTTACCACAAAAAAAAAATAGTAATTACGTGAGGTGATTACTAACCTTCTTGTGGGAGTTAATTTGCAATACATACATATATCAAATCATCACATTGTATATCTTAAACTTACACAATGTCATATGTCAATTATACCTCAATAAAGCAGGGGGATGGGGCAGAGGGAGGAAGTGGCCATCAGAGGAGAGACTGCATCTTCAAAGTGCATGGTACCATTTTAAGGCATGATACAAATGAATAATTTGGATTTTAAGTTATTTTGTATAGTTTTGTTGTTTTGCCTATTCTAAATTGTTCTCTAGAAATTAGCAAGGTCTTTTATGGGCTTTAGTTACTAAACTCCTTAAACAAGATCCAAGATTAACGAGTTATAATAAATTTAGCTATTCTGTTTTAAATTTATTTTTTAAAGTTCTACTTTTAAGACTCTCAAGTATATAACCTTAACAAAGCAATTATTCACTCTTACACATCTTCTATTTAACTCATTTAGCCCAATTCAAGAAATTTGGAGTCATTGCGATTTAAACCAGGAATCGACAAACCATGGCACACAGACTGAATTCAGCCTGATGCCTGTTTTTGTACAGGCCACAGGCTGAGAATGGTGTTTACCTATCTAAATGATTTTTTAAAGTAAAACAATAATAATATTTTTCCATAAAAAGTAAAAATATGTGAAATCCAAATTTCAGCATCCATAAAGTTTTATTGGGACACGGCCACACCTATTAATTATAGATTGTCTATTGCTGCTTTAGCCCTGGAACAGTTGAGTAGCTGCAACAAAGACCACATGGTCCACAAATTCTAAAGTAGTTATTATCTGGACCTTTACAGAAAAAGTTTACCGACCTCTGATTTAAACAAACATTGCATGTTTTCCAGAATGTCTATCATCTATGAGCCATAAGAATTCTTTTATATACTCCTCATAAGTCATTCTCTACACAAACACACAAACACACATATACAAACACACACACATACACACGGAAAGAGAAAGAGAGAATGAGAGAGAGTGAGGGATAAAGTGTCAAGTGTAGATGAAGGGCTTACTGGTGTCTGTTGTAGTATTCTTTTAACTTTCATGTAAGTTTAAAACTTTCAAAACCAAAAGTTAGAGGTGGGTAGGAGGAAGACAGACCTGAGAGGAGAATAAAGGGGAGGAATCTAAGTCACAAGCAAAATTTTTCTGAACACCGGAGAAGATAGTGGCAGTAATGAATGAGATAGGCTATCGGTTTCCCAGGATAGAATCTGAAAAGAAGCAAGAAATCAATAATGGTAGCTTTTTTATCATTGTTGTTTATCACCAAGCAATGCAGAACGCAGAGGACAGTAGAGAGAAAGAGAACAAGTTCAGCTTTGTAGATGACAATTTGTGTTGTCCAGGAACACTCACTCATCGAAACAAGACCAGCTGGCAGGGGACATCTCAATCTGGCGTACGAGAGAGATCAGGACTGAGAACATTCTAGAATTTGAACACTGAGGAATTATTTACAGAACAAGACAGTGGGCAGGGGGAGGAAGACAACAGAAGCGAATACAGCATGTATACTTGGTATACTTTATATCATTTAACAAATTACCTGAGATGGGGAAGATATATATTCTTTGAAATTCAATTAAAATTCAGACATTAGCAAGTCATTGTTAGCAAAATTCTGAGAAAATATTTTTTAATGATGAAAAAATATTATTTTTCATCAATTTTAATGATGAGTCTGACATCAAAACAATTCATACTTAATTTATAAGCCAAACTGATAAAAGGTATAATTTAGGCTATTTAATCACTATTCATATCTCCAGTATTTAAATTTATATCACACACTGAAAAGAAATGGCAGGTCATAAAAATATCCTAAAAATTTTAAAATAACCAAAAATAGAAATAATCACTTTAAAAATATGTTTTGAGGATGATTTATTTCCCCCAATTTAGGCTAACAGGTGTACAGATGATTTTAATCAATAAATAGGATTGCTCTGTAAATCAACTGCACCTGCATAATTAAGTCTTTTTTATAAACATTTTTGATGAGTACTATACTAGAAACAGAAGATAAATACATCTTGAATTAGAGATAAATGCTTTTATGGTATCTATGCCTACAGCTTAGAACACAAATAACTGGTCTACTTGCAGGCCCCGCGTCACCACACTCAAAGCAACAATAGCATCTTTTCCTCTTGCTGACAGACTTTATGTGACCAGGGAAAAATGTGTGAGTATGCTGCCACATGAAGTTTGGCTATAAAGTGACTGGAATGTTTTTTATTTAAGTGACTAGAACACATACCTAAATGAACACTATACCTTACAGATGAACCCTAATGAAACCGCACACTTACTCTGAAAAGCCTCGCATCGTTAATCCCTGTTTTACTCATCTTCAGAACTGCCTTCAGCCTTCAGAGCCGGTTCTAACTCATTCACACAACAAGCATTACCACCATCTTTCCTTATGGCTTTGTAATTGTCACATTTTATTTTTAACTCAGCCTCATTATCCACCTATGCACCAAACTTGGTTAATTTTTGGCAGTGCTGAGAACACCCAAAAGAATATGCTACAGGTCTGATGGCAATTTCAAAAGGAAAATGGTGAAAATGTTTTGAACAATTGCAGCATCATTTGAACACATATAAAACTTCCCAACTTTAAAAGGGAATCATAATTTCTTACATTTTAGAAATTTCTTACATTTCTAAAAGTGTATGGCATAACATATCTTATGGGTTTAAGTATATTGTTTATTCAACGAAAGAGGATAAGTGCCTTCTAGAACTATATAGTAAAATATATAGGTCATATGCATGTATTGCAATGTCATCACCCACCAAAAATTCACACCTGGCTTTCTGCAGTACTTGCAACCAGAGTACAAGGACCAATGTGATCCAAGTGTACTTTTAAGAGAAAATATTAGTTCTTCTATCACAGAATCTCAGAATTCCTTTTATTTTATTTGAAATGTGATTCCCTAAAAAAGTGATGTGAGATTTAAACCTGGCTTGAGGAGAACTCTCAAGAAAAGACTCCTTGCCTTTGCTAATGTTAAGGTAAGAGGTTTTCTGCATGTGTAGTTATCCCCACCCCACCACAGCCAACTCTGCTTGAACAGGAAAGACACAGATCCTGGCCCTAGCACTCTTCACCCTCGTCCTCGGGAAATTAGGATATTATGCAGCACTCTGCTCCTCCACACCACAGCACAAGGCTGCCACCTACAGAGCCACGTAATCCACTCAGCGTTACCCAGGGAGAGTGAGAATCAGCATAAAACAAATCCTGCCCTCTGGAGATCAGAGAACGGTGTCTATTGCTAAAGAATACATTTATGCTTGGACACGCCAGGTTTAATAGCCTGTTTGGGAAATGCACCCATGATTACGAAATGGGGGCAACAAGATCAGCACCCCATGCTTTCATTGCTGGCCACTTGAGAAAACAACTAGGGGATGGAAAACATCACAAACAACACAATATTTTATGCAGAGCAACTTTTTTTTAACTGTACTTCCTGCTTTATTACAAAGTGAGAGACAGACAGAGATAGAAAGATAAAGTGGCAAAGTCACTGGAAAGAAAATGATTTTCCTAACTTTCCTTAGGACAGGTTGTTCTCAGAAGTATGTAATTGCCCAACTGTTAAAAACATGAAACACTCAAAGCTGTTTAGAACAGACTCTAAGTTACTCTGTCCTTCCCTTCTCAGCCACCCCACCCCCGACCACCGTCCACAAGTGTGATAATTTGACTCTGGAACAAACAGCTAAACTACCGTTGATTAGAGCTCACTCCCATGATTCTCCCTTAATTACCACTTATATAAGTGAGAAGTACAAACCATCCATCGGTCATGAGAAAACGCAAAGGATAAATAGCCTCTACTGGGACCACTCAGTTCAACCACGACTGATTGGTCATCTCGTGTGAAGGACAGAAAGACACAGGCACGCTCCTTTGCTGGGTCACAGTTCAAAGGACTCCGCACACAGAACTTCTTGTTCCCACAATCTGAAGCACTGAACTAGAAAAATGATGA